TCCACCTTCCAACGGCCAGGGGGGGCCGCGGCAACGACGACGATGACGGCGATGACGACGACGATGGCGACGCAGGCGGCGGCAGCGACAACGGCGACGGCGACGGACGCGACGACCTCCAGAGGCCGCGCGCGGGGCGCTCGCGGGAGGCTCAGCGGAACCAGTGGCGCTGCCGGACGGGCGGGGACTCCGTCTTCGCCGCGGACATGCGCGGGAAGGTGCCCTTGGGGCAGAGAGAAAGAGATATGGATAAAGAGAGAAGAGATAGAGAGAGATAGAGAAAGAGAGAGAGAGAGAGAGAAAACAAAAAAAAGAGAGAGAGAGAGGGAGAGAGACTCACCGATGCGGACGACGTTCAGAGCAGCAAGCGGCTGCCCGGCCGTGATCTCTTTGGGGCCGAGCCCGGCCCAAAGGAAACCGAGGGGGGCCGAAACGAGGCCTCCCCAGGCGCCGAGGCGACTGAACAGTAAGAGCGGCGTTTTGACGGGGCCGAAGCGGCCCGTGCCGGCGCGCCGCACGGAGACGGGTTGCCGCTTGGGCAGCCTCTTGTCGGCAGGTGGGCGTCGGCAGCGGGCAGTACCGCACGCAGGGCAACCCCTGCAGTCGGACCCAGGCCAGAAGAGCATCCTTCAAGAGCACGAGACCCTCCGTCGGCCAAAGCACACGAGCATCCAAGGGTACCCTCCCCAGGATGCCCAAGAACGTCCAACAAACACGAAGAACACCAGGGCACCCTCCCCGAACCGACCTCGATCTCATGCCTCGGTGCGACTGTTCGCGGGTGAGCGCGTGACCACGGAGCACTTGCCCGGTGTGGCGCGGGACGCGGGCCGAGGCTGCGCAGTGCAACGGGCCAGCCTGCGGGCCAGCGGGGGGGGGCCAAGCGCTGGGCTGCGCAGTCGCGGTGGCAAGGTCCACCGGGCGGCGGTGGCGCGGCGGGTGGCCGGCGGAGGGCCTGCCACGCCTCCTGGGCGCGCGGCGGGCGCTGGACGAGGGCACCGCGGCGCTCGAGGGCGCTGCGGAGCGCACTGGCGAGGGAGCCGCACTGCACCTGCAGGGCCGCGGCGGAGGCGGCCAGAGCGGTGGCCCGCTCTCCGTCGCTCGTGGCCTCCAAAGGGGGGGCGCGCGCGGCCTGCGCCCGTGGGCGCGAGCCGCGCGGGGCCCCCCATCTGTGGGGCATGGGGGGCAGGCGTGCGGCGCACGAGGAGAAGGGCCCGCGGTGCGGGGAGGACTGACGGCGGGGCCGTGGGGGTGAGCAGTGAGCGCCCGGCGGCGGTCATGCCTGGGAGGTGGCCGCACGGCAGGGGCCGTCGGCAGGGGGGGGTCGGGTGCAGAGCAGCGGGGGACACGACGGCCGGCGCTCGACTCGTGCCGGCGCCGTGCTCAGAGGGGGGCCGACTGGCGAGGATGGCGGGAGCCGTCGGTCTGGGGTGGGGGCGGGTGCACTGGAGGTCGCGGGTCTCCGCGGTGGTTATGTGTCCAGTGCTCGGCACCAGGCTGGCTGACGGCAGGGCGAACAGGTGCTCGGGAAGCCTTCGCGTCAACTTCATGCGCGGAAATCACCTCTGCAGGTGGGGGCGTGGGCGCAGAGGTGGGCGGCGCCGCAGTGGGGGACCTCCAGGGGGTGCGACGTCGGCGATGGTGCCTCCGCCAGCACCGTGGATCGGCACAGGCTGGTTTGGGCCAGCTCACGCGTCGCTGGTAGCTCGGTCACGGCCGCTGGTCGCCTGTGGACGCCAGCGCGGAGGAAGGGGGCTGTCGTCGTCGCCAAAGGAGCCACCAAGACCGAGGGGGTCGTCGGCGTCGTCGTCAGGGCAAGGCTCGGTGTGGGCTTCCTCCCAAGGAGCGTCCAGAGTGGGAGGGGCGCGCGCCCGCGAGAGGGGGGCGCGGTGGCGCGGCTCCTCCCCGCCCCCCCCCCCCGCAGCCACCAAGTGGCCGACCCATGCGGCCGAACTCGGCTGCGGTGTCGGCGGCCCAACGACGGTGCGGAAGCGGGAGGGTGCGATGCCGTCTGTCGTGGCGACGGCCGTCGTGTGGAGGGATCCGCGAGTCATTGTTCTACCTCCTCCTCCTCCTCCCTCCTCCTCCTCCCTCCTCCTCCTCCTCCTCCTCCTCCTCCTCCTCCTCTTCCTCCTCTTCCTCCTCCTCCTCCTCCCTCCTCCTCCTCCTCCTCCTCCTCCTCCTCCTCCTCCTCCTCCTCCTCCTCCTCCTCCTCCACTTCCTCCTCCTTCCTCCTCCTTCCTCCTCCTCCTCCTCCTCCTCCTCCTCCTCCTCCTCCTCCTCCTCCTCCTCCTCCTCCTCCGGTGGCGCTGTGGCGGCGTTGATCACGTCGCGGGGCAGGCTGTGGAGGCCAGCGGCCTCCGTGGGGTCAGGTGGCCGGCGTGACGACCCGGGCATGCGGCCGTGGCGGAGAGGACCCCCGCGTGGATGCCGGCTTCGCCAGGGTGCGGGGAGGAGGAGGAGGAGGAGGAGGAGGAGCGCACGTAGCTTGCGGAGGAGGAGGAGGAGGAAGAGGAGGAGTAGGAGGAGGAGGATTCTCGCCAAGATCCATATGGGGCCCTTTGGTTGGAGGCTCAGCCCCGTCGAGGAGGCGGGGCATCCATCGACGACGCACTGGTTGCAGACGACGACGTGCACGGGGGGGATCGGCCGTGGAGACAAAGGTGGGGGAGCGCGAGAGGTTTGGTTCGCTGTGCGTTTAGGACGACGCAATGAAGGCGGGCGGGGTAAATTACTCGGTGGTCGACCACGGAGAAGACTTCATAGGCCACGCGGGCCAGAGGCGCACGTGCCTGGTAAGAACAGGCTCCGTTTGTGAAGAGAGAGAGAGAGAGAGAGAGAGGGACACACGGAGAAAGAAAGAGACAGAGAGAGAGAGAGAGAGACGCAGCTGGAGAGAGATAGAAAGCGGGAGAGAGAGAGAGAGGACGAGAGTGTGAAAGAGAGAGAGAGAGAAAGAGAAAGAGAGAAAGAGAGAGGAAAAAGAGAGAGAGAGAGAGAACAAGCCCAAACAAACTTGTACATGGGCAGGGAGAGGGAGGGAGAGAGAACGCAACAAACACACACACACACACACACACACACACACACACACACAAAAAAAAAGAAGAGGGAGAAAGCGGGGGGAGGGAGGGAGAAAGAGAGAGAGAGAGGGAGGGAGAAAGAGCGGGAGAGAGAGAGAGAGAGACTACAAAGAGAGAGAGAGGGAGAGCGAGAGAACGAGAGAGGCAGAGGGAGCCACACCGATGCGGCCGAGCGGGCCCGACGGCCGAGCGGGCCAGCAGCTCACGCCCTCCCCTCCCAGGGCTGGAGGGCAGCAAGAAGAAACGGGAGCGGCCATGACTGCAGCCCGGCTCCCCCCGGCGCACCTGCTGGCGCGACTGCGCCGGCGTGGCCCCAGAGATCTGACGTCGTGATGTTTTCAATACGCGGTCGCCCGAAGCCTCGACCCATTCCCCAGGACCCGTTTCTCATCGTGAGTCGTTTCTTTACGGTCCCGGGGCCCGGCGAGGGCCCCTAGAGGCCGAAAACTGAAGGAAACACAAAAAAAAAAACTCCGTCTTGACTTTTTCAAGAAGTTGGATCTCTGGGGCCCGCCAGCGATCCGAGCACGGCTGCGGATCCGTGGCTGGGAGCGGCGAGGGCGCCGAGGCCGATATGGTCTCGGCGTGCGCGCGCCGCCCTCCCCACGGCGGGCACGGGTCGCCGGGGGGAGGGGACCTGTCCTTCCAGAGTGTCAAAGAATAACACTCCAGACCTATAGATCTATCTGGACTGCCCCAATCCTCGACAGGAGTTAGGAAGTCGACGTCATGGCGCTCTTTTTTAGCCCTCCTGGAAGGAGGGGGGGGAGGGGGGGGGGCAACCCCCGCAAGCGCCGAGGAGTGCCCATCCACGCCTGGCCTGCCAGGCTGGAGCGCGGGGCGGGGGTGGAAGCGCTCTCAAGGCTGCCGTGAAGTCGGGCCTATCTCTCTATAGGGGGAGACTTCAAAAAGAGTCCAAAAATGGTATGGGGGCGATGCTTTGACCTTTTTGGGGCATTTGAAATGTATTTTTGGGGTATCCTTTTACTTTCCCAGAGATCCGACGTCGTGATTTTTTCAATACGGGGTCCCCAGAAGTCTCGACCCATTCCCCGGGACCGGCTTCTCATCCCGAGTCGTTTTCTGACGGTCCCGGGGCCCGTCGAGGACCCCTCGAGGCCGAAAAATGAAAAAAAACTCCGCCTTGATGTTGTCAATGCGTCGGATCTCTGAGGAAAAAAAAAAAAAAATCGCAACCTCGGGGGTCTGGGATGGCCCCTGCAGTGGTGCGCAAGGCCACCGCCAGCCGGCCGGCGGCCCCCCTGGCGTGCGCGGCGCCCGGGGGGCCTGCGGGACCCCGGCGCTCCGGGCCCGGCCTCGGCGCGCGGAGAGCGGCTTCTGCTGCGGGTACTCCAGATTTCGTAATAAAAGGGAGGGGGTCTGGACCCTCCCAGACGAGCCATTTCAGACCCCCCCCCGTGGGAGAACCCTCCAAAACATCGTCCCCAGACCCCCCCAGGCCCTCCAAGATAGCCTGGGAGAGACCCCCCCCCAAATGAGACCCCCTCCCTTTTATTACGAAATCTGGAGTACCCGCGGCGGCGGCTGGGGTGGCGAGGCGGGCCCGTGCGGCTCAGGAGGGCCGCCGCCTGGGCAGGTGGGGCCGTGGTCCTGTGTGGGCCAGAAGACGAGCCCAGACCTCCTGGCGTCGTGGAAAAATCACGGCGGAAGGTTTTTCGCTATTTTCGGCCTCCAGGGGCCCTCACCGGGCCTCGGGAGCGTCAAAAAACGATTCAGGATGAAGAACCGGTCCAGGGGAAAGGGTCCAGACCTCTGGGGGTCGACGTTGTGAAAAAATCACGACGTCGGGAGTCTGGGAGCGACACCACCCCACCTACGGCCCCGCGGGCCGTGGCGTATGCCAGGACATCCGGCGTGGATTTTTGCACGGTATGCGCTGCGGCCCCCGATGGGCCGTAGCGCAACATGGAGGGCCGTAGGTGGGGTGGTGTCGTTTGTTTTTGGGCCGACTGTTCTCCGTCAGAGAAAGCTCGAGGCGGCGCTGGGCCTCAGGATCGGTGGTGGACCGCCGGTTGGAGAAGCGCGGGCTGGCGCCGCATTGCCACTGGGGGCGACTTGGGCCGGAGGAAACTGGCTCCCCTGCCCAGAGTCGACCCTGTCTTCGTCAGGAGGAGCATGGAGTCAAGTCGAGTCAAGTCGAGCTGTCAGGACCGAGCAGACATGTTGGACCTGGGCGCAGTGCATCCACGCAGGGAACCTGACAAGGAGAGGAGGAGGAGGAGGAGGAGGAGGAGGAGGGAGGAGAATAAAAAGAAGAAGAAGAAGAAGAAGAAGAAGACGAAGGAAACAGAGGAGGAGGAGGAGGACGAGGAGGAGGATGGCAGCGAGGAGGTGGAAGGGAGACGGGGGGCGCCTTGAAAAGGATCCCACAGGAGCCGCACACCTTGATCGTGTCGGGGCCGCCTGGGCAGCCAGAGCCTTTCAGGGGCTCCCTGTCGACGCCGCAGTAGAACTCCTCCTGATGGCGGACGAGAACCAGCAAACGGCCGATTCCAGTCATGGCGGCGTGGGTTCCAATCTGCTTCACCGCGTGGACCGCTACATCCTGAACAATCTCCACTGCTGACGGGCGTTGGCGGCGAGCGAGGGAGAAAAATGAGAGGAGAAGGCCTTCTCAGCAGGCGGCGGGACTTCTCGGAAGCCCTCCCGCCTTCGGAGAAGCTTCCCGGCCTTCGGAGAAGCTTCCTGTCGCTTCGGGGAAAGCCCAAAAACTTCTCAGGAGGCCAGGGGACTTCCAGACCTTCTGAGAAGGCCTTCTCCTTCTCCCTTCCCCCCCCCCTCGCTCGCCGCCGAGGGCGTCCCCCAAGGCCACAAGGGCCATCGGGGGTCGCCGATCCCGATCGCGCGAGCCCGTGCTGCTGCCCCGACACGGCGGCACGAGCCTCCGGCACGCAGCCGCTGCACAGCACCACGGCACAGGGGGCAAGGACGCAAGGACGCTCGGGCGGCCCGAGCGCAGCTCGCCACAGGGGCACCCTCAGGGGCCAGCTGGCTGAATTCGCTGAGCATGGACCGCGCAAACAAAGATGCAAGGGCACCCAGACCTCCGAAGTCGTACCCGCATGGATACACAGACATAGGAAAGAATAAGCAGGGGCCCTGGAGCCCTCGAAACCTTCCAAGGGACAGTAGCTGATAATCCCGCCCATCTCCTACGCATGGTGTTCCTGCTGTCATTTGAATGTATCTTCCCGCACGCTTTTCGCTTTCCCATACATCTTGCCTCCCTCATTCCTCCTTCCCACCTGCCTTCTCCTCCTCGCTCTCACAATCACCGTGCTGAGCTACTGATACCCCGAACTCCCACAGACTCTCAACACGCAGACTCACTCCTATTCAGACCCACTCGCATCCCGACTCACTGAGACACGCTCGTCTACTCAACACTCAGACTTCCAGACTCACTCACTCACACACCCAGGCTCAACTCGTACTCAAACACGCTCGTCTTCGGACATGCTCGCAGTGGCATCCATTCAACTCAGGCCCACTTGCACTCAGATGCTCAGATCAAATCTTACTCTGACACAATCGCGCTAAGCCTCATTCTCACTCAGTCATGCCTGGTTACCCGTACCCAGACTTATCACACTCGGACACTGCGAACTCAGAGCCACTCGGACTCACATTCGTTCGCTCGCACACACTTCTTACCATCGAGCTCTGAAAAATCAAAGGCATTGTGTGTGCGTCATCCACTACCCATATCCATTCAGGCCCAGTCGCACTGAGACCCTCTCACACACACACACACACACACACACACACACACACTGACGTTCTCGCTTGATTGTGGGGATGTCTCAAACGGAAAGCCCGCTTGCGGCTCTGACGCTTCGTCTGCGGCTATGGACGAGTATACTGACAGAGCCTCAGTGTCACCGCGATGTAGAGAGCATGGCGTCTGGACCAGCCAAAACGGACGCCGACGAACGGTTTTGCATAGGCCCGTTCGCGCCCAGATGGTTGGGAGGGAAATCAACAGCGAAACACCAGGATGAGGCTCTGGGCACGTTTGTCTTCAGAGCCCTCTTGTCGCCGCAATGTGGCAGGCGGACCACCCGAGGGGGGGAGCGGGCCATCGGTGTTGCATGGGCCTGTTCGCGCACAGATTGGAGAAACTTATTGGGCGACGTGCCCGCTTGCAGCTCTGAACGGATCTTTGCTCGAGCCCTGTTGTCACCACATTGTCGCTGGCATGGCATTTAGAACACCCAGGGGGGGGGCCGACCAGGGGTAGTGCACGAACCCGTTCACGCCTTGATGCGGCTCTGGACGCTCGTTCGTGCCCCAAGTATTGCTCTCGTGTAGAATGGCGCCTTGGGGGTATGCGTCTCCCCCCTCTCATAGCCACATGAGCATCTCGATGTAGCACACATGGAGTCGGGGACCCCCAAGGGAGGGCGCGAGCAGAGACTTACTCGACCAGAGCGCGAGACATAGAGATGTGAGCACCGGGATCTCCGCACCTAACACCCTGATTGTCCTGAAGCCCGCATCGGCCCCAGAAAGTCAAAGATGGCGAGACGAATCCGTCCTGGTTCGTTCCATCGCGTGGGAAGCATGAGAGGTGATGGGTGGTGCGAAAGAACAACTGCAAATCCAAGCGAACCGTGCAGCGGCCAGAAAACCGAGGAGCAGCTCGACGCCCAGGAGGCCAAGGATGGCGAGCGAATCCGTCCTGGCTCGTCCCATCACGCTGGAGGCGAGTGAGGAGGGCACCGCCGGCACGGTCGGGAATCCAGAACACGGCCTCAAGAGCGTGGCTCAAGAGCACGGGCTTTGTCGCCGATTGCCCAGGGTCCCACGGAGATGTCCAAAGTGGAGAGCAGCGCAGGACCCGAAGGATACCCCATCCAAAGCTAAGGCTGTTCTTAATCCTCGTGCCCGAGACACGAAGAACATGAGGGTACCCCTCTAAAGCTAGAGCTGTTCTTAGCCCTCGTGCCGACTGTAACCCACCTCATCAGCGCTGCAATGACCGCCGGCAACAAAGAAGTTTGCTCCACGAAGTCCAGCCGCCAAGGGGGGAAGGCGCCCCCCCTCCCGGCAGAGCACTGCAGCCTGCTTGTCGAGTACTTGTCTTGTTTATTATCACGCCAGCCTGGTCTAGCGAATTCACTCCTCCAACGTCCTGCTTCCCCTTCGAGGACGGCTTCATCAATATTTACCACTCCTCTCCCCCACCCCCACCCCTCCACATCCCCCCTCCTCCCCCCTCCACATCCCTCCCCCCCCCCTTTCACCTCCCCTCCCGAGCTCCCAGAGAGCCCGAGTGTCTAAGTTCACTTGCTCCCCCCCCTCCGCCTAGCTATGTGTGTCTCTTTTTCCCTCTTCCCGACAGCTCGCCTCGGCATCGGTCTGCGGATGGGTTTGTGGGAATACGCGAGGCGTCACGAATGTTCGTACGTATTCCTCCAGAGCTGCTGCTCGCCCGTCGATCCTCCTTGGGCGTGCTCTGAATCCGCCGCAACATGCGCATGGTGCCGCCCTCGCCCCAGTCCCTGCCCCAGGAGTTCTGCAGCTGCCAGTAGCCCTGGCTGCGGCCGCCCTTCAGCGACTGGCCGTAGCCGAACAACACCATGGCGTGGTTCAGCACCGCGTCCTGCCTGCAATTGTCGTAGACGCCCTGCTGGTAAACCGAAATCCCGTAATCCGCGAAGCCGCTCGAGGCGGCCACCGACACGACCAGCGGCCCCACCTCCACGAGAGTGCGGACCACGGGGTCGTACCTCGGAAGCGCAGACGCTCTGCCTTTGCTGCCGCAGCGCGGGCGATCGCTCCGCGCAGGCAGGCCTGAACGGGCTGCGCCGTGGCAGATTTGCACCAAGGGGGGAGGCGAGAGGAAGCCGGCCTCGGAGGGGGGACTGGAACAGGGCGGGACGTTCAGATCATAGAGGGTTTAGCACCGCAGGCCCCCTAACATGTTTTTTCGTCGCGGCGCGGCAGAAGTTATCCGCTCGCACGCATAGCAAAACTGAGCTGCGGAGTTGCGGATTGGCCTGCATGCAAGGGTGGAAGAGGAAAGAGCGGCGGCCGCGGGGGAAGGGAACGGGACGCGGGGGCACTCTCACGCGGCAGGGCCGCGGGGAGCGCGCGGGGGCGGCCAGGCTGAAGGGCACCCCCTGGCAGCGGCGCGGGGCGGCATCGCGGGCGCACCCACGGGCGGGGCCAGCAGCCGCAGTGCGGGCGAGGCCCAGCAGGCGAGAGGGCGGGAGCAGCAGGCGGCTGGCGGCCCAGGGCGCCCAGGTTGGGGGGGGAGGCAGCAGCTGAAGCGCGCGGCAGCGGGCAGAGGAGCGCGGTGCGGCCGGCGCAGAGGCGGCGCCAGGAGGCAGACCCGGGGGCGCGGCAAGGCGGGCAGCACAGGCGGGCAGGCAGGCCCCCAAACACGCCCATGCCGCGAAAGGCAAGGGCGCCGCCGCAGCGGGCAGGCAACTGCGGGTGCATCCGAAGCGGGCCGCGCTGAAAGCAACAGTCAGAGCATGAAGCTCTGTTCACTTCGGCATGCACGAACATAAACACACAGACACGCACGACCCCAGGCTTGATGCTGACCCGGCTGGCCCGATCCACGCGCGGACGCGGAGCATCCCGCCCCGATCGAGGGCCCGTCCCAGTCGACCGACGCAGTCGGCGGGACCAGCGGCACGATCCGACGGATCGGTAAGGGACCCCTGTTACGACCGCGCACGTCAAGGCCATCCTCCAGAAATGTGGTGTCTTCTTTTTGTTTCTGGGAAGTCCTGACCGACCCTTGCCCCAGGGCCGGGCTTCCATCCTGAATACTTATTTGAAGCTCCCCAGGCTGGGCTAGAACGCGCGGAGGCCGGAATCGAGGAAGAACTGCCGCCTGGATGTCTTCAAGACCCAGACCCCCGACGTCGTGATTTCTTCATGACATGGACCCCCAAGGAGGTCTGACCACCTCCCTGGAGGCCGGGCTTTTTTATCCCGAGCTGCTAGTTGTTCACGACCCAGAGGCCCAGCCCCTAGAGATAGGGAATCCCGAAAGGCTCCCGTCGTGATTTGTTGTGCCTGGCGGCAGGGGCCTGGGGTTCAACTGCCCCGAGACGCAACACGCATCACGTAGCGTGTTGACACGGAGCTCAGCACGTAGACTGAAAACGTAGGTCTGGCGCGAGACGTGAGCCAAAACGTGGGCCAACACGTGCCGAGCCAACATGCAGCGCGTTCAACACGGACGTCATAAGCACGGTACGAGCTCCGCTTCAGCACTGGCGCATCGAGGCAGCTGAGGTCGTGATGTCTTGCTCCTGGCGGCAGGGGTCCGGGGACGTCGGATGCCTGAGCCCCTCCCCCCTGCGGCGCCGCTCGGAGGGGGTCTGCGCGGGAGGCGGGAGGGGAGGGGTCGAGGCCGATGGCCGCGATCGAGGGGCTCCCGGTCAGGAATCTGAGCACCGCGCTCGTTCTCCGGGAGGCGCTCCCACGTGAGCATGCCCAGGTCGGCCGCCCGCGTGGATCTGGCCGCCAGGGCGCTCGGGCACTTATCGTCCCTGTGCATGTAGGGGTACTGGTCCTCTGCCGGAGGGAGAGGAAGCGAGTGCCATGAGCAAGACTCTCGGAGAGGCGCTTTGCCGCCCCGGCCGGGACCTGAGTCTGGGCGGACCAGTTTCCCATGAATAGGGGACGTGGATGTCTCAACAACAGCCGTATATTTTCGAGCAATGATCGACGGAGAGAAAGATCTTGAATCAAAGGACGAGGAGATGGAAGTGTAGGGTACGCATCGGTCCTCTGTGAGGATGCCGTGCTCCAAGATGTACTGGAACGCGATGTCCGAAGTCGCGCCGTGGCAGCCCCCAGTGCCGCCGCAGTGCCTCGTCTTTTTCCCCACGACCGCAAGAGGAATGGGTCAGGGGACGCGTACGCCCCACCAGGGAGAACATTTTTTGCCCAGCCCGTGCCTCGTGTTCTCCGCGCACGACACGAGGTGCTGCACGGAGAAAGTCTTGGTCTTGTTCGTGGCTATCTCGTAGTGGGCCTCCAGGGCCTTGAGCGCGGACGCCGCCCAGCACGAGCCACACGAACCCTCGCGGCGCTGGGGGGGGCTAGGTGTACTTCAGGAACAACCGAACTGGAGTTGGAACCTGGATACTCATCAAAATACCAAGACATTCGTAGTAGCAACTTCCATACATCAGAATACCTATACGACCACCCTGCGGGTGATAAGGAGGTGAGGGGGGAGGGGGAACCAACGTCTCACTCAATCGATCTCGCTATCGATCTCACATTCGGTCTCACATTCGGTCTCACATTCGGTCTCACATTCGGTCTCACTATCGATCTCACTATCGATCTCACAATCGATCTCACTATCAATCTCACAATCGATCTCACATTCGGTCTTACTACCGATATCACAATCGATCTCGCGATCGACGTCATCATCATCATCATCAACATCAACATCAACATCATCAACATCATCATCATCATCATCATCATCATCATCATCATCACCATCATCATCATCATCATCATCATCATCATCATCATAATCGCCATCATCAACATCATCATCATTACCATCATCATCATCATCATCATCATCATCATCATCACCATCATCATCATCATAATCATCATCATCATCAACATCATGATCGGGACACCGACGGGACACCGACGGGACACCGGCGGGACACCGGCGGGACACCGCGCGCCACCGGCCGCCCGGTGGAGAATCATTTGGTCCGGCCGCGCCTCAGCCACAGAGGACACCACCGGGACACCGGCGGGACACCGCGCGCCACCGGCCGCCCGGTGGAGAATCATTTGGTCCGGCCGCGCCTCAGCCACAGGAGACTTTCCTCTCGCCCGCCCACGCAGCTTCGCCTCGCCCGCACGCACGGCACGCACGAACACGAAACCGAAATCGATTTCCCGGTAGGGGGGCTCTCCGTTCCACTTCGATCTCACCCCCTCATCTCCGATCAATGAAGATCAGGATGAGGAAGCACGACGCTAGGAACATCGGCTTCCCTCCAAGAATTCTCTCTCAAAGCAGTAGTCAGGGTCTAGATGTACGAACCTTCCACGGAGAAGAGAGGCTCCAAGAAAACGCCGAGGCTCCAGCTCTGATTCTTGATTCTCTTGGGCGAAGTTTGGGCACATCCGTTAAAAACAAAAAGACAAAAACAAAACAACAACAACAACAACAACAACAACAACAACAACAACAACAACAACAACAACAACAACAACAACGACAACAACAACAACAACAGCAACAACAACAACAACAACAACAGCAACAGCAACAGCAACAACAACAACAACAACAACCACAACCACAATCACAACCACAACCACAACCACAACCACAACCACAACCACAACAACAACAACAATAACAACAACAACAACAACAACAACAACAACAACAACAACAACAACAACAACAACAACAACAACAACAACAACAACAAGAAGCACTGTAGTGAACCAATGGGCACCTCTTTCGTCAGCTCTGAGCTTCGTAAGGTGCCCCAGGGCTTAGCAGACCCATCTGGCGGTAAGAAATTTATCGTCGGGAACCCCAGTTGGCAGGCTGAGTTCTTATTTGGCGTGCCCCCTTTGCCGGAGCCTGAGACCGCCAGCACCACGCGTGAAATACTGCACGCTCTGAGCGCGGCTCCCTCCGTCATCCTCCTCCTCCTCCTCCTCCTCCTCCTCCTCCTCCTCCTCCTCCTCCTCCTCCTCCTCCGCGGCCGCTCTCCTTCACAGTAGCTCTGCAGCGTCCTGGCTCTTGCTATCCGACGCCATGCACCCCACTCGTGCCAGATCATGCTCTCCGCGGCCGGGGGCCGAAAGACGGCTCTCGCCCCCCCCTGGGGGAAGCGTTTTCGTCGATGCCCTCTGCAAGGGGGGGCATCGAGGCCAACGGGCTTCCCGGGGTCGTGGCCCGCCCGCCTGGTTCTTCACCTGGCGCAGCGAGCGCAGGTGGCCCCACGAGAAGAACTTCGGGAACTCCTCCCTCCGCGCCGCCAGGTTCACCACTGGGCTGCCGTCCACGGCCTCCGCGGCGGCCCCACCTTGACGAACCAACAACACACACCCATACCCATAGGGGGGTCGGAGAGGGCTATGGGTGCGTGTTGTCGGATGGGGGTCCCCGCTCGAACGGGAGCGTTCCCCAGGGTGCGACAACCCGCACCCATACCCATAGCCAGTCCTCCTCTCGACGACCCCCCTATGGGTATGGGTGTGTTGCTCGTTCGTCACCACCTGGGCGAGCTCGCAGGCAGCGAGCACGTCCCCACCCGCGCCCCCGCGGCCCTGGACTCCGGGGCGCCGCCCCGCGGAGATGCGCGGTCGCACGGGCACGCTCCGCGGGGGGGGGGCACCCGCGGAAAAAAAAAAAAAAAAGCGCCCCGCGAGCCGCGGGGTCGCAGCCCGTGGGCCGCGCATCGCGAGGCCGCGCGTCGGAGGCTTGGGGGGCGAGGTCGAAGTGGAACGACGGAGCCCCCCCCCCCCACCCCGGGGAAATCGGTTTCGGCTGCGGGTTCCGTGTCGCACGTGCGGGCGCGGTCGAAGTGGGGCGGAGGCCCCCCCCCCCCCCCCGGGGAAATCGGTTTCGGGGGCGAGGTCGAAGTGGAACGGAGCCCCCCCCCCCCGGGGAAATCGGTTTCGGCTGCGGGTTCCGCGACGCACGTGCGGGCGCGGCGGAGCTGCGTGGGCGAGCGAGAGAGCAATGACCTGAGCTGTGGTTGGGGCGGGTCAAGGGCCGTGGACTGCCCCGGTGGGCGGGCGGTGGCCGGGCTGTCCCCTCGCTGCCCCGTCGGTGTCCCGTCGGTGTCCCGTCGGTGTCCCGTTGGTGTCCGTTCGGTGTCCCGTCGGTGTCCTGTCGGTGTCCCGTTGGTGTCCCGTCGGTGTCCCGTCGGTGTCCCGTGGCGGGATCAATAGCGAGACCGATAGTGAGGCCCATAGTGAGAATCGATAGTGAGACCGAGCAAGTGAGATCGATAGCAAGTTCGATGGTGAAATCGATAGCGAGATCAAAAGTGAGATCGATTGGTGTCCCACGGGTGTCCCGTTGGTGTCCCGCGGGTGTCCCGTCGGTGTTCTGTGGTGTCCCTTGGTGAGATCGATGGTGATATCGATAGTGAGACCGATAGTGAGATCGATAGTGAGATCCGTAGTGAGAGCGATAGTGTGATCGATAATGCGATCGATCAAGTGAGATCTACAGCGAGATCGAGCGAGTGAGATCGATAGGGAGATCGATAGTGAGATCGATTGGTGTCCCGATGTTGTGACGATGGTGTCCCGTGGTGTCCCATCGGTGTCCCATCGGGGTCCCGTCGGTGTCCCGTCGGTGTCCCGTCGGTGTCCCTTCGGTGTCCCGCGGGAGTCCCGTCGGTGTCCCGTGGCGTCCCGTGGTGGGATCGATAGTGAGACCGATAGTGTGATCGATAGTGACATCGATAGTGAGATCGATAGTAGGATAACTAGTGAGATCGATAGCGAAACCGAGGATGAGATCGATAGTGGGATCCATAGTGAGATGAATGGTGACCTGATGGTGTCCTGATTGGTACGCCGATTGGTGTCCCGATTGGTGTCCCGATTGGTGTCCTGATGGTGTCCTGGTGGTGTTGCGATGGTGTCTCAGTGGTGTCCTGGTGGTGTCCCGATAGGTGCCCCGAGCGGTGTTCCGATGGTGTCCCGATTGGTGGCCCGATGGATGTCCTGATGGTGTCCTGGTGGTGTTTCGATGGTGTCACGATGGTGTCCTGGTGGTGTTCATAGTGAGACTTGGGAGGGATCGCAGAGAAGCCGATACGCCAAACGGTTTTCCATGTGAGCATCACCGGCCACGGGATCGACTGTGGTATTGAGCGAATGATGTACCGTCGGTGTCCCGTTGGTGTCCCGTCAGTGTCCCGATTGGCGTCCCGTCGGTGTCCCGATTGGTGTCCGGTTTGGTGTCCCGATCGTACTTAGCACTACAGCCGTTGCTGTCGCCGCCACCCTCATCACCACTGCGGCCATCACCGTGCCATCAGCAGCCAGCCATCACACTTAGCACCAACCATCACAGCACAGTAGTGGTGGCATGTATTTGGCCTCATGGTGCCCTGGTGGTGCCTCGATGGTGAGGTCGATCGAGTAGGATCAATAGTGGGATCACATCGCGACGCAGCATCGTCACCACGAGTCGTCGCCAACTCGAGGGCGCATCACCAGCACCGTCATCATCGCCGCCATTGCAGTTGTCGTCAGCTGGTTCCTTTCCCCCCACACTGACCTCCTCATCACCCGAAGGGTCGTAGTATAGGTACGGAGGTGTTCTTCGCCCACGACAAACCAGAAGACACTGATACCGCTAATCCCCAGACCTCTCCCAGGGCGCGCTCTGACCAGAATGTCGAGGCGAATCCAACAGTGGCAACGAGGGCCTCCCAACCCAGGAGGCCCAAAAGCCAGATCTACAGCTGTTGCTCGCAAGACGCCAGCCTTGCAAGTGCGCGAAAGTCTTCACACTGGTCTGACCCGAACCTTGCAGTTGCAACTGAAGCGAAGACCAGCAAGAGAAAAGCGGCTCGAAACCAGGATGCCCCATCCCCCCACCCCACCCACCCGCCAAAGAAATTTGCTTGGCGAAGGACCCAACCATATGCAGCTGCGAGAATCGCAGAATATGCCCCTCTCATCATGAGCAGCGCGCCGCGAGAGGGGTGGAGCACGTGGCAACGCGGATGGGAGCCCCGAAACGTGCGTGAGGTGTGCCGAAATGAGCGGGAGACGCATGCGGGCACTGCCACTGGGGCTTTCGTACAGAGCTTCCTATGTGGACACGATGCTCGTGAGGAGTGCGCCGAAATCGCCCGAGGCCGCCATGCGAACCATGCCATTAGGGCCTCCGGTGAAGCTCCCTGTAGGGCCACGATCCTCGTGAGGGGTGTGCTAAGATGGCCCGAGGCCGCCGTGCGAGACCTGCCTCTGGGGCCTTCGGTGGAGATCCCTATGTGGACACAATGCTCGTGAGGAGTGCGCCGAAATCGCCCGAGGCCGCCATGCGAACCCTGCTACTGGGGCCTTCGATGGAGCTCCCTATGGGGCCACGGTCCTCGAGAGGGGTGTGCTGAAATCGCCCGAGGCCGCCATGCGAACCCTGCCACTGGGGCCTTCGGTGGAGCTCCGTATGGGGCCACGGTCCTCGTGAGGGGCGTGCCGAAATGGTTGACACGCGGAGAAAAAAGAGGCAGATGGGAGGAGGGAGGAGGGGGAGGAGGGGTGAGGAGGAGGAGGAGGAGGAGGAGGTGAGACGCGGGGCGCCGCCCTTTCAAAACGAGGACCCCACACCACAGGACGATTGGGAAAAAGCCATCAAAGGTGGCGGCTTCAGTACCTTTTCTTCCTCCGATCACCAGGCTCGCCGTGGACCAGGCCGTGAAGCCCCAGGCGTTCCTCCGCCGTGTAATCCGCGAACTTGCCCACGCTGGCCGTCCAGCTCCGGGAGGGGTCCTTGGTCTCTGGCGGGTCACTCGGCCGACCACGCCACCCTGGTGACGCGATCCGGCCGCAGCCCCGAGCACGATGGCTCCCGCGCCGAGCACGGATCGCTCATGCATTCCAGCCCAGACGATCGCGCGATCAGGCCGGAGCGATCACGCGACCAGCGCGAGCCGGGCGCCAGAGGAGCACCGCGTGCGTGCTGCGCCGCCACGTGGCCAAGGATCGGCGGCGCGCCCATGGGGGTAAGCGAGAAGGGGGCAGGAGGAGGAGGAGGAGGAGGAGGAGGAGGAGGAGGAGGATCCCCCGATCGCTGCGATCGGTGATCGCCGATCGCGTGCCCAGCAGACACCGAGGAGGCGTCCGCGTTGTGGCCGTCGACCGCCTCGGCGGTGCGCGCGTAGAGGCCCGCGCGCCAAGAGTACTCCTCGCTCCCGGGCGCGTAGTCGCGCTCGTGCAGCTCCACAAACTGCTCGAAGGAGGGAGACGTGACCACCGTCCTGGCCTCCCCCCTCCTCCCTCGCCTCCTCCCTCGCCTCCCCCCTCCTCCCTCGCCTCCTCCCTCGCCTCCTCCTCCTCCCCCTCCTCCTCCTCTCCTCCTCCTCCTCCTCTCCTCCTCCTCCTCCTCCTCCTCCTCCTCCTCCTCCTCCTCCTCTCCTCCTCCTCCAACTCCTCCTCCTCCTCCTCCTCCTCCTCCTCCTCCTCCTCCTCATCCTCCTCCTCCATCCCTTTTGCATTTGAATTGCCTGGTGACGTCCCAAACCCTTTTCTAACACGGGGCAGCTACAGAAAGGACCGCCCAACACAAGCGAACATGATGACAGACGCGCACTGCGCAGCCCCGCAGAGAGCCACAAGGTCTAGGCTGGGTCCGCGTGGACCTCCACTCCGCTGGACCTCCCAGGAGGCCACGAAATGAAGGCCAGTTGCGCGGTTCGCAGACCCCCAGGGCCCGCGAGGTCTCAACTGGATCTGCGTAAACCTCCACTCCGCTGGACCTCCCAGGCGCCTACGAAAACGGCAACATTTGCTCGGTTTGCAGACCCCCAGGGAGCCGCGAGGTCTCGGCAGGTCCGCAAGGACTTCCACTCCGCGTGCACCTCCCAGGAGCTCACGAAAGCGAAGACAGTTGACCTCCACTCCGCTGGACCTCCCAGGCGACCACGAAAGAGGTGACAACTGCGCAATTCGCAGACCCCAGGAGAGCCGCGAGGTCTCGGCAGGTCTGCGTGGACCTCCAGTCCGCGTGGACCTCTCAGGCGCCCACGAAAGCGGCGACAGGTGCGCGGTTTGCAGACCCCCGGGGAGCCGCGAGGTCTCAGCAGGTCCGCGTGGACCTTCACTCCGCTGGACCTCCCAGGAGCCCACGAAAGAGGTGACAGCTGCGCGGGTCGCAGCCCCGCAGGGAACCGCGAGGTCTCGGCAGGTCCGCGTGGACCTCCGCTCCGCTGGACCTCCCAGGAGCCCACGAAAGCGGCGACAGCTGCGCGGGTCGCAGCCCCGCATTGCCCGCGAGGTCTCGGCAGGTCCGCATGGACCTCTACCCCGCTGGACCTCCCAGGCGCCCACGAAAGCGGCGACAGGTGCGCAGTTCGCAGACCCCCAGGGAGCGCGAGGTCTCGGCAGGTCCGCGTGGACCTCCACTCCGCGTAGACATCCCAGGAGCCCACGAAAGTGGCGACAGCTGCGCGGGTCGCAGCCCCGCAGGGAACCGCGAGGTCTAGGCAGGTCCGCGTGGACCTCCGCTCCGCTGGACCTCCCAGGAGCCCACGAAAGAGGTGACAACTGCGCAATTCGCAGCCCCGCAGGGAACCGCGAGGTCTCGGCAGGTCCGCGTGGACCTCTACCCCGCTGGACCTCCCAGGCGCCCACGAAAGAGGTGACAACTGCGCAATTCGCAGCCCCGCAGGGAACCGCGAGGTCTCGGCAGGTCCGCGTGGACCTCCGCTCCGCTGGACCTCCCAGGAGCCCACGAAAGAGGTGACAACTGCGCAATTCGCAGCCCCGCAGGGAACCGCGAGGTCTCAGCAGGTCCGCGTGGACCTTCACTCCGCTGGACCTCCCAGGAGCCCACGAAAGAGGTGACAGCTGCGCGGGTCGCAGCCCCGCAGGGAACCGCGAGGTCTCGGCAGGTCCGCGTGGACCTCCGCTCCGCTGGACCTCCCAGGAGCCCACGAAAGCGGCGACAGCTGCGCGGGTCGCAGACCCGCATTGCCCGCGAGGTCTCGGCAGGTCCGCATGGACCTCTAAACCCGCTGGACCTCCCAGGAGCCCACGAAAGCGGCAACAGCTGCGCGGGTCGCAGCCCCGCATTGCCCGCGAGGTCTCGGCAGGTCCGCGTGGACCTCTACCCCGCTGGACCTCCCAGGCGCCCACGAAAGCGGCGACAGGTGCGCAGTTCCCAAACCCCCAGGGAGCGCGAGGTCTCGGCAGGTCCGCGTGGACCTCCACTCCGCGTAGACATCCCAGGAGCCCATGAAAGTGGCGACAGTTGCGCAGTTCGCAGCCTCGCATGGAGCCGCGAGGTCTTGCCAGGTCCGCGTGGACCTCCGCTGCGTTGGACCTCCCAGGAGCCCACGAAAGCGGCGACGGCTACGCGGTTCGCAGTCCCGCAGGGCCCGCGGGAGAGGACGACTAAACAGGAACGAGGGGGGGCGGGGAGTGGACGAAGGGGAGGCGGGGAGAAGGGAGGAGGGAGGAGGGAGGAGAGAGGAGGAGGACGAGGTGGGGCCCACACTGCTCCATTCAAAACTCCTCCCTCAGAACCCAGCCAAAGGAGGGTTGGGAATAACTCCTCCCTGCTTCACCCCCAGACGCGTCGGTGGGCCGGGCGAGCGTTTCGCGTGGGACCTCCTCGCCACTCATGATCCTGAAGCTTGGACTGTACAATAGTTTCAATGATGGAGCACAGGCGCTCTCAAAATATGGCTCTCGCCCTGGCGCCGCGCACATGCGGCGTAGAAGCTCGCAACCGCTTCAAGGATGGAGGCCGAATCCTTGTCAAAGTTTGCAGCAGATTCAAGGAATCGTAAAGTTGAAGTCCCAGGAATTGCGCTTTGGCGCGACCTACGATTGTCAGGACGCAACAGTCACGTCGATTCGCGTTGTTGACATCCCAGGGGCTGCTTTCTTGCACGACTCCATATCTTCAAGCCGCCGTGGTCAAATTCATTCGCGGTAATAACCTGGCGCTTCCAGCAATGCGAGCAATTATTGCAGGGTCTATGGAGAAGGAATTTCGAGGGCGGGTGTATTGCAACATCGGTGATGCGTCTTGGGATAACTCTGGTCCTCCTCCCCCTCTTCCTTCTCATCCTGTTCCTCTTCCTCCCTCCCCTCTCCGCTAACTCCCTGCTCTCGCCCCCTCTGCCCTCCTCCTCCTCCTCCTCCTCCACCTCCTCCACCTCCTCCTCCTCCTCGTGGACGAGGCGGAGGGGTTGAGGAAGTGGGGGGGTATGGGCGAGGGAGCCGGGCGGGGGCGGGCGCCCACGAGGGGACGCCGCGAGGGGAGACGGCCCGAGGGGCATCGGTTCGGGCCCCACGCCCCTGAACCGATCCCCCCCCCCCCGAACTTTGCCATCGATGGACCCGCCGCCGCCCTCGCCGCAGCCGTCGTCGTGAGCGCACCCAGGCCTCCAGTGTTTGTGAGTTTTTCGCAGCGACTTCTCTGGAGCCCGGGGCCACTTCCAGGGGGATGGCCTCTCGTCACAGATGGTGTTTTGACGGTCCTTGGGGCTGGCGAAAGCCCCCAGAAGCCGAATACAGTGCAAAAACTCCACCTGCTTCTTGTTCAAAGCGATGCGGGTCTTGGCAGTCCTTGTCGTCGTCGTCGTCCTCGTCGTCGTCGTCGTCGTCCTCCTCCTCGTCGTCGTCCTCGTCCTCGTCGTCGTCGTCGTTTTCGTCGTCGTCGTATTCCTCGTCGTCGTCGTCCTCGCCGACGTCGTCGTCCTCGTCGTCGTCGTCCTCGTCGTCGCTGTCGTCGTACTCGTCCTCGTCGTCGTCCTCGTCGTCGTCGTATTCGTCGTCGTCGTCATCGTCGTCGTCCTCGTCGTCATCCTCGTCGTCGTCGTCCTTGTCGTCGTCGGCGCCGTCCTCGTCGTCGTCGTCGTCGACCTCGCCGTCGTGGTCGCCGTCCTCTTCGTCCTCATCGTCGTCGACCTCGTCGTCGTCACCGTCTTCGTCCTCGTCGTCGTCGCCGTCCTCGTCGTCGACCTCGTCGTCGTCGTCGTCGTCCTCGCCCTTTTCGTCATCGTCTCGGTCGTCGTCGTCGCCGTCGTCGTCGTCGCCGTCCTCGTCGTCGTCGTCGTCCTTGTCGTCGTCCTCGACGTCGTCGGCGTCGTCGTCCTCGTCATCGCCGTCACCGTCCTCGTCCTCGTCGTCGTCGTCGTCCTCGTCGCTGGCCTCGTCGTCGTCCTCGACGTCGTCGTCCTCGTCGTCGTCATCGTCGTCGTCGCCGTCGTCGTCGTCGTCCTCGTCGCCGTCGTCGCCATCATCGCCGTCCTCTTCGTCGGCCTCGTCGTCCTCGTCGTCGTCGCCGTCCTCGTCGTCGTCGCCGTCCTCGTCGTCGTCGTCGTTGTCCTCGTCGTCGTCGTCCGCGCCGTCGTCGTCGTCCGCGTCGACGTCGTCGTTTTCGTCGTCGTCGTCATCCTCGTTGTCGTCGTCCTCGCCGTGTTCGTCGCCGTGGTGGTTTTCGTCATCGTTATTTTCGTCGTCGTCGACCTCGTCGTCGTGTCCGTCGTCGTCATCGTCGTCGTTGTTGCCGTCGTCGTAGTCGTCGTCGTCGTCGTCCCCGTCGTCGTCGTCGTCGTCGTGATCCTCGTCGTCGTCGTCTTCGTCCTCGTCGGCATCGTCGTGTTCGTCCTCGTCTTCGTCGTCGTCGTCCTCGTCGCCGTCGTCGTCCTATTCTTCCTCGTCGTCGCCCTCGTCGTCCGTCATCGTCGACCTCGGCGTCGTCGTCGGCGTTGTCGTCGTCGTCTTCGTCGTCGTCGTCCTCGTCGTCGTCGTCGACGTCGCCGCCGTCGACGTCCTCGTCGTCGTCGTCGTCTTCGGTGTCGTCATGCTCGTCGTCGTCATCGTCGTCCTCGTCGACGTCGCCGTGATCCTGGCCATCGTCGTCCTCGTCCCCGCCGTCGTGGTCGCCGTCGTCGACGTCGTGCTCGTCGCCGACATCGTCTTCCTCGTCGTCGTCGACGTCCTTGTCGTCGTCGGTGCTATCGTCGTCGTCCTCATCGTCGTCGTCGTCGTCGACCTCGCCGTCGTCGTTGCCTTCCTCGTTGTCCTCATCGTTGTCGGCATCGTCGTCGTCGTCAACGTTCTCGTCCTCGTCGTCGTGGCCGCCCTCGTCGTCGACCTCGTCGTCGTCGTCGTCGCCCTCGTCGTCGTCGTCGCGGTCCTCGTCCTCGTCGTCGTCGTCGCGGTCGCCGTCGCCACAGTCGCCGGCGTCGTCGTCGTCGTCCTCGTCGTCGTCGTCGTCGTCGCCGTCGTCGTCGTCTGCGTTGTCGTCCTCGTCGTCCTCATCCTCGTCGTCGTCGTCGTCACTGTCGTCCTTGTCGTCGTCCTCGCCGTCGTTGTCGCCGTTTCCGTTGTCCTCGTCGCCGTAGTCATCGTCGTCGTCGTCACCGTTCTCGTCGTCATCGTCGTCGTCGTCCTCGTCGTTGACCTCGTCGTCGTCGTCGCCCTCGTCCTCGTCGTCTTCGTCGACAGCGCGTCGTCGTCCTCGTCATCCTCGTCCTCGTTGTCGTCGTCGTCGTCGCCAGGCAATCGTCGTAATCATCGTCGCCGTCGTCGTCATCGTTGTCATTTGCGTCGTAGTCGCTGTCGTCCTCGTCGTCCTCGTCCTCGTCCTCGTAGTCGTAATCGTGGTCTTCGTCGGCGACCTTGTCATCGTCCTCGTCGTCGTCCTCGTCGTCGTCATCGTCGTCGTCGTCCTCGTCGCCCTCATGATCGTCGTTGTCGTTCTCGTGCTCGTCGCCGTCGTCGTCGTCATCGGCGTGTCGCCTTCGTTCTTGTCGTCGTCGTCGGGCCGTCGTCCTCGCGGTAGTCGTCGTCGTCCTCGTCGTCGTCGACGTCGTCGTTCTCGCCCTCATCGTCGTCGTCGTCATCGTAGTCGTCATTGGATTCGTCGTGCAGTCGTCGTCGTTGTCATCGTCGTCGTCCTCGTCGTCGCCGACGTCGTCGTCCTCGTCATCATCGTCCTCACCGTCGCCGTCGTTGTACGTGTCGTCGTCGTCGTACTCGTCGTCGCCCTCGTCGTCGGCCTCGTCATGTCGTCCTCGTCGTCGTCGTCGCCGTCGTCGCCGTCGTCGTCGTCCTCGTCGTCGTCGGCGCACTCGTCGACGTCGTCGTCCTCGTCCTCGTAGTCGTCGTCCTTGTCGTCAGCGTCGTCCTCGTCGGCGGCGTCGTCCTCCTCCTCGACATCGTGGTCGTCGTCATCGTGGTCGTCGTCGTCGTCCTCGTCATCGTCGCCGTCGCCCGTGTCGTCGTCGTCGTCCTCGTCGTCGTCGTCGTCGGGCCGTCGTCGCCGTGGTCGTCGTCGTCGTCGTACTCGTCGTCGTCGTCGTCCACGTCCTCCTCGTTTTCGCTGCCGTCATCTTCGTCATCATCGTAGGCGTCGTACCGTCGTCGCATTCCTCGTCGTGGTCGTCGACGTCGTGGTCCTCGTCGTTGTCTTCGTCGTCGTCGTCCTCGTCGTGGCAATCGTCGTCCTTGTCGTCGTCGTCGCCGTCGTCATCGTACCCGTCGTCGTCGTCCTCGTCGTCGCCCGCGTCATCGTCCTCGCCGTCGTCGCCGTCGTCCGTCGACGTCGTCGTCATCCTCGTCGTCGTCGTCCTCGTCGTCATCATCGTCGTCCTCGTCGGCGTCGTCGTCGACCTCGTCGTCCTCGTCGGCGTCGTCGGGCCGTCGTCGTCGTCGTCGTCGTCTCCCTCGTACTTGTTGTCCTTGTCGTCGTCGTCGCCGTCGTCATCCTACCCGTCGTCGTCGTCCTCGTCGTCGTCCGCGTCGTCGTCCTCGCCGTCGTCGCCGTCGTCCGTCGACGTCGTCGTCATCCTCGTCGTCGTCGTCCTCGTCATCGTCGTCGTCCTCGTCGGCGTCGTCGTCGACCTCGTCGTCCTCGTCGGCGTCGTCGGGTCGTCGTCCTCGTCGTCGTCGTCATCGTCGTCGTGCCGTCGTCGTCGTCGTCGACGTCGTCCTCCTCCTCCTCCTCGTCTTCGTCGTCGACCTCGTCGTCGTCGTGTCTTCGTCGTCCTTGTCGTCGTCGTCCTCATCGTCGTCCTTGTCGTCGTCGTCCTCGTCGTCGTCGTCCTCCTCCTCGTCGTCCTCGTCATCATCGTCGTCGCCATCGCCCTCGTCGTCGTCGTCGACGGGCCGTCGTCGTCGTGGTCGTCGTCATGCTCGTCGTTCTCGTCGTCGTTGTCCTCCTCGTCCTCGTCGTCATCATCGTCGCCATGCTCGTAGTCGTGCCGTTGTCGTCCTCGTCCTCGGGCCGCCGTACGTCCTCGTTCTCGTCGTCGTCGTCGTCGTCCTTGTCGTCGTCGTCATCCTCGTCGTCGTCACCGTCGTCGTCACCGTCGTCGTCCTCGTCGTCGTCGACGTCGTCGTCCTCGTCGTTGTCCTCGTCGTTGCCCTCGTCGTCATCGTCCGCGTCCTTGTCGTCGTCGTAGTCGTCGTCGTCGTCGTCCTCGTCGTCGCCGTCGTCGTCGTCGTCGTACTTGTCGTCGTCGTCGCCGTCGTCCTTGTCGACGTCGTCCTCGTCCTCTTCCTCGTCGGCGTCGTCGTCGTCGTCCTCATCGTCGTCGTCGTCATCGTCGCCGCCGTCATTGTCGTCGTCAATCTCGTCGTCGTCGTCAGCGTCGTCGCCCTCGTCGTCGTCCTCGCCGTCGTCGCCGTCCTCGCCCTCGTCGTCGTCCTGTTCGTCGTCGTCGTCCTCGTCATCATCGTCGTCCTCGTCGTCGTCCTCGTCGTCGTCGTCCTCGTCGTCGTCTTCCTCGTCCTCGTCCTCGTCGTCGTCGGGCCGTCGGCTTCGATCCTGGACTGCACGGGGGCCAGGGACACGGCGGCGTGTGGCAGCGCAAGCGCGAGCACCGCTGCCAGCGGGGGGGGCGGCATCCGCGCCCGAGAGGTGAGGCGCCAGCTCTCAGCAGCGCCGCCCGGCCATAAGGGTACGGTGTTGGCGAGGACGCGGCCGGCCAGGGGGGGCCTGAGCCCAGGAAGTTTCGAAACTTAGGAGGCAGCTACTGGGAGTTCCTCCTCCTCCTCTTCCTCCTCCTCCTCCTCTTCTTCTTCTTTTGACTATTCTTCCTCCTCCTCCTCCTCCTTTTCCTCCTCCTCCTCCTCCTTCTCCTCCACCTCCTGCCCCTCCGTAAGAGGCGACTACTGGGAGGTTTTCGTCGGAAGGACAAGGGAGGAGCAATTTAGCCCCATTGAGGAGCTGCTACGCTGGATTAGGACGCGGACTAAGAGGGATCAAGCGGGACCCAGCCAGATCAAGCCGGAATAGGATTAAACGGGATTCAGCCCGATTAAACTGGATTTCGGACTAGGGCAAAGTCAGAATTTGACCTCCCAGGAACTGCATCCGAAACAAAGCAACTCACGGAAGCGTTTGTTCGTCTCCGTGGCGCCCAAGAACGCGCCCAAGCGCCCGCAAGGCCAAGGGCGGGATCTTCAGTTGGGCGCGGCCTCCCTCGAGCCGAGCTTGGCGCAAGAGGCGGGCGGCTGCCTGCTCTGGCCGCCCTCCCGCCAGCGCGCGGGCGTGCCTTCCGTCGCAAAGGGTCGCGTGGAGCCCGCCGCTGCTGGCGCTCTCCCGAGCAGGCTGCCTCCTATCACGTCGGACCCTCTGGAGGCCGCGGAGCTCGACGAGCTCGCCGAGCCCTCATCCTGCTCTCGGAAGCTGCCACCGTCACCTGGTTCGCGATGTGGCACCAGCACCCCTGGTAGACTATGTCAAACTCTGGAGACTTTGGAGGATCCGAGATTCTCGTCGGAGTAGACCGAGCCCAGGGGCAACCTGCAGGCATCCCAGCCGCAGCCGCCGACCTCATGAAGCCTGGCCATCTTGCACTTCTTCGTGTACACGACGAGGTACTTGCAGGCCTCTTCAAGGCCCGTGTTCTAGGGCATGGGCTGCTGCACCCCGTCCCCAAACTGGATGTTCTCCCAGTCGCCGTCGCCGCGGTTGAGCTCCGCTTCCAGCTCCTCCACGACTCTGTCGCAGCTGTACTCCGCCTCCTGCTCGTCCTGCGGGAGCGCAGCGTTCTCCGTCTGTGGGATGGCCTCCTCTTCCTCGTCCTCGACGGCGACCTCCAGGGTCGCCAATCGTCCACGCCGGCGACGGCACTTCCAGGCGCCGCGGGCAATCATCCTGCGCTGCGGCGAAGGCCCTTGTAGATCTTGGCCGCTACGTCCGTCGCCCCACGCTCGGCGAAGCTCTTCCTCCACACCAGCCAGTTTGCCAAGTCCAGGACGGCCGCTGCCTCTCGTTCAGCTCCACAAAGGCCCTGCCCGAGCGCAGCACCACTGCGAACAGCTTCTGGGGCCTGGAGAAGACGGCGCGGTACGTCTTTGCGTAAGTGTCCGCGCCCTCTGGCGACCACCTGCCCAGGAAGCCCCGCTCGCTCTTCGGGGTCCCAATCGCCGCCAACGCCGATGAGATCGCCGCTCGCTACGAGTGCTCCGCCCAGAAGCCCACGACCTCCTCGGGGAGGAAGGGCTCCGAGATCTCGCCCTCCAAGGCGGGCGCCAGCATCCTCCAGAGCACCTCCTGGTCCGCCGCCGCCTCGGCGCATGCCGCGGGCTTGTGGACCACTTGCTGGCCGGCGTCGTTGCACCGAGGCAAGGAGTGGCCCCTCTCGAAGGCCGCGATATCCTGCCACAGGCGGAAGCCCGTCTCTATCCACGACGGGCCCCGCATGTAGCGCTCGCGGGATACCACCAACGGCCGCTACGGCATCTTGCGCCCTGCAACGCTGGTCTTCGCACGTACCAGCGCGGCCGTCAAACCACCGTCCACGAAGGGGAGGCGCCTAGGTGGGAGCCAGCCGCAGTCGTCGTAGCGCAGCACCGCCCAGCCCTTGACGAGGCGAAGCCACGACACTCTGTGCAGGTACTTCGAGAGACCCTCGTCCGCGACCAGCGGCTCCAGGGCCCCGATGAATGCACTGGCGAGTCGGCCCGCCCTCATCGTCGGACCCTTGCCAACGCCGAGGAGCATCTCCGCGTTCGCGACGGCCTGTTGGACCTCCAGCCGAGCGGAGAGCCTAGCGCTCGGATCGAAGCCGGCCGCGCGCTCGGTCTAGGCCAGGACGTGGAGGGCCTCGTTGGGCACGGTTGGCCAACAGGGCTCGGTAACCCTGGCGCGCACGCAGTGCACAACCGTCTTCGGCAACGGGATGCTGCGCGCGCAGGAGCCATCGGTGCAGCGTTTCGCCCGCACGCACGTACGACCTCACTGTGTTGAGGCGCGCGCGGCCCGCGATGCCATCCAGCGCCCGCCCCGGGTCCATGCAGGACCGCGCCACCTCTCCAGCGAGGGCGCCTCCATATATCGATATCGAGCTCGCTCGCCTGCAGCACCAGGCGTTAGCCGAGGCGGCCACAGCCATGCAACGCCTTGCTGACCCGCCGCCGCGCGGCGTCGAGGACGCACAGCTCAAGGGCAAGCATCTTCGCTAAACCACTGTTCAAAATCGGCCGAACGCCTTGAGCCAAAATGGCAACAGGCGTCGGGCAATTAAGGATGATACTACTACGTGTTGGCCCACGTGGGCGATGATGATGATGGTGGTGGTGGTGATGAATGGTGGTGGTGGTGACGTTGATGTCGATGATGCTGATGATGATGATGATGCTGATGATTATGATGATGATGGTGGTAGTGATGATGCTGATGATGCTGGTGGTGGTGATGATAATCATGGTGATGATGGTAATGGTGGTCGTGATGGTGATGGTGATTGTGATGGCTATCGTGATGGTGATAGTGATGGTGATGGTGGTGGTGATGGTGATGGTGGTGATGATGATAATGATGGTGGTGATAATAATGCTGATGATGATGGTGACGACGACGATGATGATGATGGGGATGATGATGGTTGCGGTGCTGGTAATGATGAGGATGATGGTGGTGATGATGAGGGTGAGAATGATGGTGATGTTGATGATGGTGATGATGATGTTGATGATGATGTTGACGATGGTGAGGATGATGGTGGTGGTGGTGATGATAATGGGGGTAATGGTAATGATGCTGATGATGATGGACATGACGGCGACGATGACAGTGGTGGTGATAATAATATTGCTGTTGACGCTGATGATGGTGATGATGATGGAGATGATAACGGTGGTAATGATGCTGATGATAATGATGATGATGGTGATGATGATGATGGTGATGATGCTGATGATGATGGTGATGATGGTGATGATGGTGATGGCAATGATCATGGTAATGGTGATGGTGATGGTGCTGGTGATGGTGATGGTGATGGTGATGATCATGATGATGATGAGGATGATGATTGTGGTGATAACGATGATGATGATGATGATGATGATGATGATGATGATGATGATGATGGTGATGGTGACAATGATGATGATGATGATGAAGATGAAGATGAAGATGAAGATGAAGATGATGATGATGATGATGATGATGATGATGATGATGATGATGATGATGATGATGATGATGATGACGACGATGATGATGACGACGACGAAGATGATGATGATGATGCTGCTGCTGATGATGGTCCCAGGGCCAGGAAGCGGCCTCACTGAGGCTGAAAGCGTTGAAAAGCCAGACGGCGCGATTTCTGTCAGGGAGCGAGGGGCAGGCAGACGACGACGGCGGACGCGTGGGCGGGAGGCTAGGGCCCTGCGGCCCTCCGCCACCCCCCCCCCGCACCGGCGGCGCGGCGGCGGGTGCCATGGCTGCCCTGGGCAGGGGGGGGGCACGCAGCCATCGGCCTGACCTAAGGAACGAGAAATAAAGAACGAAGCCCCTTTGTTTTCCAAGGAACAGTACATCATAAGGAACGATAAATAATGAAAAACGCATACGGAACGATGGATAACGCATGCAAGCCTAGGGAACGACCGAGCCCCTTTTGAAAAGCAAGTGTTCCTTACTCAAGCCGCTCACTGTATGGGAAGAAGGCGTGCGAGGCGGCGGGGCAGTTGCGCGGAGACGGAGCCTCTCTCAGCCAGGGGCATCCAAGGCACTGGTTCTCCTTGTTCGCACGGCAGCGTCCACGCGTTTCGAGGCTGTCGCTGCTGGCTCGCGGCGCGCGTGCCGTGCGCACCATGAGCCGAGCGAAACGAGGTCTCGAAGCAGACCCGCGGCCCCGATCGAGAGGGGTGAAGGCCGAGGCTGCATTGCTGCAGCGCCGTACCGCCCAGGCCGAAGCGCCCTCTCCCCAGGGCAACGGAGGGGGGCGGACGAAATGGCAGCACGGGCGTCAGCAGCGCTCTCCCCCCCCCCTCTGCCGAAGGGCCTCGCTGCCGTGGGGGGGGGGAACGTCCCAGAACGCTTGGCCATGCCCGAGGGCCGCGCTGCACAAATCGGCGCAGGGGCACGGCACCCCAGGGCAGGCACCAGAGCCCGTGACCTTGGGGATCGAACGCTTACACAGATCCTACAATATGCTTCCCCTCCATCGCCTCTGTTTTTATCATACGGCGGAACTCAACCCCAACGATGACCTCACCCTCGAACACTGCTCACCACTGCAGCACAGCTGCGCGCCGCGGTGTGAACGGTCTCTTCCTCTGGATGGTTTCCTCCTTTCTGTGGGAAGGGACAGGGGGGAAACGAGATGGATCTGTATCGTGGTCCCCCTCCGTGGGGGAACGAGGTGGATCTGTATCGTGGTCCCCCTCCGTGCCCTGACATGCGCGCGGGCCGACAACCTCGACGTCGGCGCTGCTCGCAGAGGCGAGAGCGGGGAACGCCAGGGCTCGGCTGGCCGACATCGGCGCGCTCCCCCGAAGCGCCGACCGCGGCACTTCGATCTGCATGGGATCGGCCGAAACACTGGCGAGCGCCCACACGCATCCGCGCCGAGACTCGGCTCACGAAGGCACCCGACGGGCCTCCCAATGTGCACCCAGGCGCGGGGGCCGTGGCCCGAGCCACTGCGCACTCCTCTGCATGAGCGCCTCACGCTCGCGAGACTGCCCCGAGAATTGCCCACTGCACTGTGCGCGGTGGCGG